AAATTTCTCTCGGCGAGGTTAACTGAGTTATATTATAGTCTACATTTTTAGTTTAGTTTTTTGTTTTGTTCTATTGCCAGAGGGTGCAGGCACACACCAGAGAGACAGAAAAGGAGAAAGCACCCCCAGTAGGGTGTAGTCATGTTGCAATCCCTTCTCGTCCATTTCTCCATCTTGCTGGGATTATGGACACACGCAGACTCACACATACGCACCCTGTGCTTTTCAAGCAGCCGGGTCTGGGACCCAAACTGTGCTTGGCCATGTTAGCCACTGGGCTATGGGGCTGACCCTGGTTTTAGTTACTTTTAATTTCAGAATATTGGAATACTGTATTAAAAGTTCAAAACACAAATATTTTAGTCAGTCTCTACTGGATTTGTATAAGTGTAGACTTTAATTCAGGAAATACGAACATTTAGGCACCTCACGTATTCACGCTTTGCTATTTCTAATCACTGCTTAACATAACCCTAATTTTCTGCCATCTTTGAGTGGTTCCCATCCCACAGGCTCTGCTGTGACTCTAAAGCGCCTTCTTCTAACTGAACAGGGGTCACATAAGGATGTGGTAGCAGTCGCATAACCACTCTAACTGGAGAGGACCAGTTCCCAGGGGAAGGGAAGTTCCTTTCCCAGTTGTACAGCTAGAAGCCCAGCGGCCAGAACCCGGGAGATTAACACATACAGAGAAAGAAGGACACTTAGTATTTGTCAGGCAAGTCAAGGTTGGAATTCCAGAAGATCAGAGGCAGTGCCAGGTCCAGACCCACTAGCTACCTGGACGGGGTCAGCGCTCCTCCCAAACTTCCTCTTCTCTGGCCTTATCTCCAAGGTTAACCTTGTCAAATCAAAGGGTCCTAAAGTTGCTCGATTCAGCATACTCAATGAAATTTGAATTTCAGATACATAAGGAATTATTTTTTAGCAGAAGTATTGCATGGGGCATGTTTATACCAAAATGCTATTCTATGTTTATCTGAAATTCAAACTTAACAGGATGTTCTTGATCTTATCTGGCACCCCTAGTCTTAACCTTGGTGCCACCCCACCCCTGACTCAGGATGGTTGCTCCACAGCTGTACACGTGCCCCACGCTTTCCCCACCCATGTCTTCCAGCAGGCTGTCCTAGGCTTGGGGCTGATCCACCCTGCCCTTCCCAGCCCTCTGGTGATGGGTTTCACAGACATGCTGTGGGAGAAACTTAACCGCCATGGAAGATGCCGGTGCCAGGCAGAGACTCATCTCTGACCTGCGGCCAGCTCTGCTGGGCCTCAGCACATTCCTTCCCAGCCCAGCTCACCCTTGGCACTGAGACCAGCAGCGGGGGGAGGGCTGAGCACAGCCTTAGCTCTACCACCGGCCTGTGGGTGGGCTCAGACTGGATGACGGTTGTGATTGTGGTTTGGGGATGCTTGTTAGACAAGCTCTTCTCCTTGGTTTAGTTTCATTTTGGATCTCCCTTTTTGGAAAAGAACAGAAAAAGTATTGAGTGTCAGGAATGTACATGTTCTTTATAGAATATCATTAAACCCTCTTAACAATGCTGTGAGGTGGGGCGTATTGTCCTTACTTTGCAGATGAAAAAATCAAGATGCCACTGTCTTACTTTCTATGAGTACTAAAGCTTGAATTAAACTTGGTTTTCTAAACAACCCAAGCCCAGGGAACCAGCAGTTAGCATAATGGCTATGTCGCTGGACTCCCACATAGTCGACCACGGTTCGCGTCCCAGACCCAGTGGCTTAAAACTCACCCCGAGCGTGTGTGCGTGCGTGCCCAAGATCCCGAGAAGAGAATGGAGGAGAAGGGATTGCGGCATGGCCATCCCCCCTGGGGGGTGATTTCTCGCTTTCTATCTCTATATTTCTCTCTGTCTGGTGAGCACACACGCCCTATAGCAAAAACCTCTCAAAATAAATAAATAAATAAATAAATAAATAAATAAATAAATAAATAAACCCAAGCCCATACTCTGTTACTGCACAGCTTTGTCACTGGTCACCTAAGCAGAAACTTTTGAGTAATTAATTGTGCATACATTGCTTTCTCTCTGATCTGATCCCTCAATCCTAAATTTTTATAATCTTCTCACTGAAACTCCTTTGAATACCACTGTATTTATTTATTTTCTAAGGCTGTTGAAACAAATTATAGACTGAGTAGCTTAAGACACCAGAAACCTATTCTCACACTTCAGGAGGCCAAAAGCCCCAAATCAAGATGGTGGCAGGATTGGTTCCTTCTGGAGGCCACGAGGGAAAACCCTGTCACCTGGCTTCCAGTAGACAGCCCTTGACATGCTTTGACTTGCAGCTATGTCACTCCAATCTCTGCCTCCATCACTACATGGCTGTGTGTCTGTCTGTGTCTATCACACTCTCTCTCACCTGTCTTATAAAGACATCAGCTATTGGATTTTGGGCCCACCCTAATCCAGTATACTCCATTTTAACTATTCATAGCTACAAAGTCTTATTTCCAAATAAGATCCCATTCTGAGGTTCTGTGTAGGCATGAGTTCTTGGGGGACACTATTCACTATTCAACCCAGGACTACTGCCGTTGTTTCTCTAGTCCAGACTCTCACCATCGCTGTATAAAGCAGGAGCCTCTTGATAGCGCTTCTGCTTCGAGGCTTTCCCCTTCTCAACTCATTCATGGCTCAAAAATTTTCTTTCTGAAAATTAAGTCTGGTAACAATACCCCCCAATTTAAAAACGGTCTTGTGTCCATATGGCCTATAGTGGTGGATCTCACTATCGACAGTGCAGAAAGATCATCACTTAGAGATCTTTATAAAATTCAGATTACAGGGCCCCATCCCAAAACATCCGATTCAGTTGGTCTGGAATGAAAGCCAAAAGTCTGCATTTTAACAAGCCCTGGATGATTCTAATGCGGGTAGTCCTTAAACCACAACTGAGAAGTGTCTAAAGAATAAATCCAATATCTTAACATGACATTTAAGAGTCTTCACAATCTGGTCCAATTTCTACTTTCAGTCTCATCTCCCAATTCTCCACCCTCAGCTAAGAAGTTTGTATCAGCCAACTGGAACCCTGCCCTCCTTTCCAATCCCCGCTTCTCCCCTTCCCTCCCTCTTCTGCATGGGTCACGGTCAAGTGGTTAAGGAGTGGGGCTCTGTAGCCTGACTGGACACTTACCCTTCCCATGCCTCAGGTTCCTCAGCTAGAAAGTGGAATAAGATATAAGAGGAGAATTACTCACTGTGAAGACTTGGAACAAAACCTGGCACATAGAAAGCACTCAGTGAAAATTAACCTTCATTATTTTTAATTACTTATAATTTTGTTTTAATTCCCAGAGGGTACATCACTTGCCAGAGATGGGGGCAAGAGGGAAGAAGAGAGAGAGGGCATGCCTCAACAGGGCATGGTCATGCCGCAATCCCTCTTCCTTCATTTCTCCATTCCATCAAGATCTGGGCACACATGCACTTGCACCCGGTGTGTTTTTTAAGTTGCCAGGCTGGGTTCAAATCGCAGTTAGCCATGGGGGACTCCAGTTCCCAATACACTGTACTTAACCAGCACGCTACGGAGCTGGCCTTTACTTTTAATTTTTACAGCTTTGTTCCTCTTCCTCCTTCCCTTCTTTCATCACCTGGAAAATTTCATTTTATCCTTCAAGATCCAGTGAAGAAATCATCATCTCAATGGACTCCCTCAGGTCCCATTAATTACTGTGTTTTTATCTATTCCCCTGTAATTATTGCTTTGTGATCTTTGTTCACATTACCATATTATGTAAGGTAATCAAACTTTAAAAAAATTTTTTTAGAGAGAGATTTTTGCTATAGAGCACATGTGCTTGACGGAGAGACAGAGAGAGACAGAGAAAGACAGATAGACAGAAAGCAAGATAGCACTCCCCAGGGGAAATGGCCATGCCACAATCCTTTCTCCACCATTCTCCTCTTGGGATTTTGGGCATGCAAGCACACATATCTGGCATGAGGTGTTTTCTTTTCTTTTCTTTTCTTTTTATTTTTTTTTTTGGAGAGATTTTTGCCATAGGGCACGTGCGCTCACCAGACAGACAGACAGAGACACTAAGCGAGAAATCACCCCCCAAGGGGGGTGGCCACGCCGCAATCCCTTCTCCTCCATTCTCCTCTCAGGATCCTGGGCACACATGCACACGCACCTTAAGCCACTGGGTCCAGGATTTGAACCACAGTCGACTACATGGGAGTCCAGCAACATAGCCATTACGCTAACCCACATCTGACATAAGTTTTAAGTCACTGGGTCTAGGACTCGAACCACAGTTAACTATGTGAGAGTCAGCAAAGTAACCACTACGCCATCTGCTGGTCCCAGTCATACGTATTTTTAACTATATACATGAACTGCTTAAGAGCACCTACCTTTCTGTAGGGCTTAGTGTAATGCCTAGCATATTTCGTAATTAAATTCCTCACTGTCAGCTCAGCCTCTGTGGCACAGTCAATGGGATACCGGACTGCAGAGGGGGAAGCCATATGCCAACTGTCGTTCAAGTCTCTGGCTGAATCAGCCTGAACACACTCTGGGCACATATGCAGGTGCCCAAGATCCTGGTCAGCTTGAGGACGGGAGGAAGGGAGTTGCAGCATGACTGAGCTCAGTGGAGGCCACTTCTCTCTCTCTCTCTCTGGTTGCCTCCCTTGGGTACCCTACACCTATCATGAGAAACATTTCTTATCCTCACTCGTCAGTCCATGAAATTGCATATTCAACCCATTATTTTAAAATTGAACTTTATGGGGGTTTTTTTTTCTCAATTTCATTAATTTTTTTTGCCAAAAATTTATTACACAAAAGATTTGTTAGTGATTTTTGAAGCTAGGTCACCAAGGACTTTTTTTATAATTCTTCACACAAGTTTGGCAAGTATTTTCTCAGTTTAATTTAATAATTGTACTTTTTTTTCTTCTCTTTTTAAAAAATTTATGTTTTGATTTTTTACATTGAATCACTCTACCTCCTTACAGCACACGAAATGGGCTTCCCTGGGTGTGAGTATCTGCGAGTGAGTCCAGTCGCAGAGACTAACACACACCAACCGTAAGTGAGCTTTCTTTCTACTCTTCCCACCACTTCCCTTTCTTTCTCCCTCCTGCATTCTCCATTTCCTCCCTGTGGTCAGTGTGCAGGGAGCAGCCTGGCCGAATCGTTTTACATTCCAGGTGTCTTACTTAGAACCTAGGGCTCGCGACCCACTCATAGACATAGCCCTTCACTCTGGTAGCAGGATGTTCTTCCGCTGTTCTGCCTGTAGACCGCATAGGAAATCTGCCCAAAGCTGAGCTTTGAATAGATATGACCTAGCCTCATGAGGAAGTCTGGCTCCTACCAGCAGATTCCAGGAGCCTGTGTGGTAGTTTGGGCCATGGAACCTGCTGTAGCCCAGAGAACCATCTTTCCTCTGAGAACATTATCCCAGAACCACTTTATATAATAAATGGATAACTAAGTTTTTCATGGGAACCTATAAAAGATGTCAAGACTTGAAAAACTATGCTGGTTTGAAAAATGAGCTTTTCAAAATAAGGAATCTTGAAAACTATGTCTTTCAAAATAAATAAGGAGAAGGAAAGGAATAAGGAAAGGAAACCGCAAGATCAAAATCGATAAATAAATGCAAAATCAGAGTATGTCTACAAAATATAAGTATAGTGAGCCAACAGAGTCAAATTCGTAGTGGTTGTGCATGCCATATTTCATGCCGATGAGATTTCTATATGAGATGTGGCCTTCAAATCAGAAGTGCCTAATTCTTTTTAAATGAATCTCCTCGGAGACCCACATTTTTTTTTTTTGGAGAGGTTTTTTCGCTATAGGGTGCGTGCGCTCGCCAGACAGACAGAGAGAGACATAGAGACAGAAAGCGAGAAATCACCCCCCAGGGGGGATGGTCACGCCGCAATCCCTTCTCCTCCATTCTCCTCTCGGGATCTTGGGCACGTATGCACACGCGCCCGGCGTGAGTTTTAAGCCACCGGGTCCAGGACGCGAACCGCGATCGACTACATGGGAGTCCAGCGACATAGCCATTACGCTAACTGCTGGTTCCCGGAAGTGCCTAATTCTTAGGAAACTCTCAGAGCAGCCCCATGTTGTCTGTTGTGATGGAGCTCATGGCTCCGAGTGGAGTCCCGGCAAGGAGGGGTGGAAGAGGATTCTTATCCGGACAGCACACGAGGACACAGCAAAATGGAGGGTGTTTTCTCTCTCCGACCCGACAGCCCAGGCTTCTAGCACATAGTCAAGCACATGCAAGAACTTAAAGGAGCATTTTTGTAGACAGCTGCTTCTCAGCTTTTGGCTCTGGACACTGAGGTCCAGGCCAATTCTGTCTAAGCCGGAGGGCACCAGAGGCCCAGATGCACCAAACCACAAGGGCCTAGAATTCAGTGGAACAAATATTTACAGAGCTGTATCCTGTACCTAGCACTGTGCTCACCCTGGGGACTGCAGCAGTGAACAGGCTGGGATCCCCTCCTGTCCTCAGGGAGCTTACGGTCCACTCATGAAAAACCATGAGCAGCTAATACCAGTGGAAGGAGGGTCACACGGGGAAGGGCAGGGTGGTGTGGGCGTTTGGCAGAGAAGTTAATGTTGTCTGGAGGTCTGGGAGGACTTCTCAGAGGAGCTGGCATTTAATAGGATAGTTGAGAGATGAGTAAGGGTTAGCCATGAAGAAAGCATTTCATGCTGAAAGGCTCTCGACCACCTTCAACCTGGTGTGGAGTGCCAGGACTGGACAGCCCCTGCATGCCCTCTATTATGTGGCCCTGCCTGATTGGCTCCGTTCTAACTCTGAATCCCTGCCTTGGTTTCCTGGTTTGTGCTGAGTTCTGCTGGAGCTACAGCTAGCTTTGCCTACTTTGTGGGGGTCCCACCCCACCTGGATGTCACAGCTTCTCTCTGCACTTGATGGCCTTGCCCCTGGGTGGTCTGTGTGAGGCTATAATGCTGCCACCACCTGTTTAGAAGCATCACACCACAGAATGCCACACACACCCCCCACACCCTATCTGACCTCCTCAGAGGTCAGCCCAGGGCAGATCACCCCCGTGTCTCATCCTCCTTTGGTTTCAGTGACTGCAGGAGCCACACCATTCAGTCCTACCAGCTCCATCTGTCTCATGCCTCAGATTTGGCTACACCATGTGGCAGATCCTACAGGAATTCTGTGAGTCATGGAGCAGTATTTCCCAAACAAGGGAATCCTATAAGCTAAAAATATATCCACGCACCCCAGTTTAGAAAGTTTAGAAACCCCAACCCTGAAAGTTAAATGCAGTCACTTCTAGTGGACGTGGCTGTAAACACAGACACAAATGAGTGCCTTGAACTTCATGTCAGTCTCAGTTGTAAGGTGGTTAGAAGCATGTTGCAAAAAAATATTCATTCTCCTAGATTAGCCTCAGAATAGATTTTTAAAATGAGCCATTCTTCCAGAAAATATTCATGGTTGTATTAGAATACTTTCTTGGACCCCTGAGGGTTTGCAGACCTCTCTTTAAAACACACAACCCTAGCATATAGAGAGCACCCTCCCGACTGAGCCTCGGCTTTCTCGTCTCAGGAATGGGCACACCTTGCCCACCTCTCTCATCCCTCCCGAGTGCTGTAAATATCAATTAGATGAGGTATGTAACACATGCTCCACCTGAAGACGCTGTGTAATTACAAAGGTGTGTTATTATTGCTCGTCTTCATCCTGTCTGCCAGCTGAGAGACAGCCAGCCCGTTTGCTTCAGCAGCCTGGAACTTTCTCCTTCAATAAAGACCCAGTTCCAACTCTTCCTGTAGAAATGACATAAGGTCCAATTTTCAGGAGAAACCCACCAGTGTGTACTCCTCAGAGACTGGAGTCTGGCTTTAGGTGCTTTTTTCAAATTTGCTTGTCTACTGTACCTATATAGCCTAATGCTTAAAGAAAAAAGATGTTTGAATAATATTTAAAGTATACTAGTAACTGGGCCAAAGGCTCTGAGCAAATGCGAGGATCAGGAAAAGGGTTAACATATGTGTACCTGCATGTGTGTGTAGCAATGTGTTCTGAGAGTGCATGCACACACATGCATACATAGCCACACACACACATACACATGCTTATGCACACACCAGCATGCACATGCAACCCAGCTGGATGGAGAAAGGGGTACCCTGTGTTTACACTGTGCCTTTCGTGGTGCACTCAAAGCTCCTTGCCAGGAAGGCAGGCTTGACTAATTCTCAGTATCCCACTGTGAGGCTGCTATCCCAGCTGAATCTGGGGGAGGTCCCAATAAACTCAGTGTGACTCCCTCTAAGAGCTGCTCTACCCTAGACCAACCCTACTAAATACTTACCACTGTTCTTTTCCCCATCTTGGTGCTTTGTCCTTAACCCCCCCCTCCCTGTCCTGCCTACTGTCTGTGCAGTGTGTATATTGGGGGAAGGGGAGGTATACAAGAACTCTAAGCTCCCTTCTAACTATGTATCTGGGGCCAGCAGGTAGCGTGGTGGTTAAGGGCACTGGACTCCCACATGGTCAACTGTGGTCTGAGTCCCAGACCTGGTGGCTTGCTTTTCTCACTAACCCTCCCTCCCTCGCTCTCTCTGGTCAAATTAAAATAAATAAGTAAATAAATAAATAGTTAAATAAAATAATTTAAAAAGATAGAGTTAAGTATCAAAATGCTAAGTATACCTGGAGGTCTTTACTGTGGCTATACTGGTGTGTTGTGTCTACACTTCAGAGAACTCATTCTCAGGCTCAGCATGAGAAAGAGAGAGAGATACACCCCCAGCAAGACATCATACCACGACCCCTTTGCCGCAAACCTCCAGCTCCTCAGGCTCTTGGGCATGTGTACATGTACCCCGTGAACTTTCGAGCTGACCCAGGAATCTGAAACACTCTTGGCCACATAGCTTCCAGTGTTGTAGTTCAGTTTGCCACTAACTGCGCCAGCAGGCTGGGCCCCCAGGGACTTTTTTAAAACCAGAATCTAGAGAGGATCTACAGCCCAGATTTCTTTTTTTAAATTTTCTTTTCTTTTTTATTTTTTAATAGAAAACTGGTAAATTGCCACATTGGTCTCAATTTTATATTCTATGTTGCTGCTTTCTGGGGGTGGGTGGGGGGAGTCAGGTCTCAGATACTTAACTCTATCTTTTTAAATTATTTTATTTAACTATTTATTTATTTACTTATTTATTTATTTTAATTTGACCAGAGAGAGAGAGGGAGGGAGGGAAAGTGAGAAAAGCAAGCCACCAGGTCTGGGACTCAGACCACAGTTGACCATGTGGGAGTCCAGTGCCCTTAACCACCACGCTACCTGCTGGCCCCAGATACTAACTCTATTAATAGAAGGTTTTGGGCACAATGCAAACACAACTTCCTCTGCAGTTGTTTGTGTTTAGCTGACATTTGTCCAGAAATGATCATTGCTGCAGGTGAGGGAGGGGAGGGAAGGGACACCATTTTGTAGGATCAGTCTGTCCTAGGATTTCTGAAGGTGCTGCCTGGAGAAGTAAGAGGAGGAGGAGGAGGAAGAGGAGGAGAAAAGACCTCTTCATTTTCCTGAGACCATTTTTCTGGGGCGTTTGGATTTTGGATCATGCATCCTTGCTGAAGAACACTGGGTGCTCTCCCAGAGGGTCCCCACGGTAATGCTGAAGTAGCTTTTTTAAGCTCAGATTTTTCAGATCAGCTTTTCCTTTTCTTTTTTTTGGACAGGTTTTTGCTCTAGGACGTGTGCTTGGCAGAAAGACACAGAGAGACAGAAAGCGAGAAATCACCCCTCAGGGAAGATGGCCATGCCATAATTCCTTCTCCTTCATTCTCCTCTCAGGATTTTGGGCATGCATGCACATGCGCCCGGCATGAGTTTAAGCCACCGGGTTCGGGACTCAAACCAAGGTTGACTACATGGGAGTCCAGCGACATAGCCATTACGCTAACTCCTGGTTCTGGAACTTTTCCTTTTCAAACCTCTGTCATTCTCTGCCTCGGTCCACTCAGCACTTTCTCCGTCCTGGCAGTTTGTGGCCTT